TCTCTCGCTTTTGATTTGGGGCTGCTACTGTTTGGGTTATTTTTGGGCTTGTTTTGGGCTGTTTTTTGGGCTTGGATGATGAGAAGACCAAAAAACACAATAATCACATTTTCTCTCCTTTTTTTTCTTTCTTCAACTTAACTGGCCTCGTAAAATTAAGTATCAACTTAAATTAAATTGGCTCTTTTTAAGCATATATTTATCATTAATTGTAAGGTACTTTGACGTAAAAATGTATAAAATTGCATTTATCAAATCCCCCCACACTTAGATCATTGTCCATCCCGGCAATGACTTTAGTTAACACGTAGTTATAAAAAGAAATAATGAATCAAATTAGAACATCAACACATATAGCATATCATGAGTTTGAGATTTGCTACAAAGCATTGAAAAGAGTATGCATACGCAATCAAGTAGACACAAGCTAATCTCGAGAACTCTCACGAACGGGATTAACAAAACAACACTCGATTCACTCCTTGGGTTAAAGTGTATCGCTCAAATTGTCACTATCTAGCATGTATCTACCATAAGCTTGAAAAACCTCTCACTCTCTACTACTCTGATAAAATACATGCTTATAAATCAAAAGRTYTTAAMAGGTGTAAYGAAAAACAAAGCTTTGGGTACGGTAGGGAAATATTTAGGAAAAGTGACTAAGACCTAACACCAACGGAGAATTCGGCTACTCAAACACACTTTATTTTTATTTTCACAAAGGACTTTTGTATCTATCTTTGAAGTTCATTCCTTTTCGGACGATAGGGAATAGAGATAAAACGCTTATATTCAACCATATCGTCATTTCCGTCGTCTATTTTATTTTTTATTTTTTAATTGACGACGTAATTTTGCTCTACATTTTTTTCTTTTTGAATTTTTTGTTTTTTTTTTTTTTTTCTTTTCAATATTTTCTTTCATTTTTTTTCTTCCCGAACATATGAATTCTTCTTTCAAGTATACAGGGATATTGGGATCGCTCAATTGGTGCTTAGTCGGGTGGGTCGTGTTTGGATTGGTTCATGATGTGGGTGACAAAGGAAATAGGCTAAGGCTCAAAGTGGTGTGCAAAAGGGATAATCACAACATAAGGGGTAGGCTTAAGGCTAGTGGTTTAACACATAAATGAGCAAACAATGGCCTTTGTCATGTTTATTAGCATGTAAATATCATGTAGTCTTAAGGAGAGAAAGATCAAGTTCTAGAGATGCATATCTAGGCATGACTCAATCACACAAGAAATAAATTTGAGACTAATATCAATTATTTAGTCTAAATAAGCTCAAAGTCTCAYGGTGTTCAAAACTAGTTCAAGAGATTAACAATAGTCTACTTTGACCRAWATGCTAYCACTAATCACTCTAAGTGCTATCAATCAAGCTCAATCATGCTATATACGCATCCAAACTCATTGTCATCAACAATTTAAGCTCAATAAAAGCATGCTAACACATTGTCAAAACRGACAAAGATCCTCATTTAAGCACAAAATTTGCAAAAAACAAAAATTTTGACCCCTAAAATCATTTATATACTCAATTCATGCAAATAACCCCCACCCCCACACTTAATTCATACATTGTCCTCAAGGTATGCAATAAGTAGAGGACACTCTAAGCAATTAAGGAAAAGGGAACATAAAACTCCTCTGATTTGATGAGTGACCTCCCAATGTAAGAATTCGTGGAGATGGGCGCGTCTCTTCAAGCGTCCAACATCCGGGGTGAACCTAAGAACACAGAAATCCAAAAGTGAAAATGAGAATCTAAAAGCAAACTAAATAACTGAAAGCAATAAATAAAAAGAAATGAAAATTCGTGGGTTGCCTCCCACGCAGCGCTTTTTTTTTTACGTCTTTGGCTAGACCATACTCAGTTCAATTCTTGTAGCTTGGCGTGTCCAAAGCTACCCTCTCTAAATCCCTTCCATCAAAGCCTTCATAGAACGGCTTTAGCCTATGACCGTTAACTTTGAAGATCTGCCCCGTAGACAGACTTTGTATCTTCACTGCACCATGCTAAAAAACGGTTAAAACAACAAAAGGTCCTATCCATCTGGACCTTAACTTACAGGGAAATAACTTAAATCTAAAGTGATAGAGGAGAACTTTCTAACCTTTAGTGAAAGACTTACGTGAAAAACGAGAGTCATGGAACGCCTTGGTCATAGTGTCAGATAAAGACTCGACAATATCAACAAAGCATAAAGATGAAACATCACTCGGATGTCGCAAGGCATCATATATATTAAATTTAATCATCTTGCCATCGAATTCCATGGTCAAACTACCACTATGGACGTCTACCTTAGTCTTAGAGGTTTTAAAAAATGGTCTACCTAGCAAAAGCATACCGGCGTTGGAGGCATTTTTCTCCTCCATATCTATAACATAAAAATCTGCCGGAAAGACCAGTTCATTCACTTGAACTAGCACGTCCTCTAATACCCCTTTAGGGTAGACAATAGACCTATCCGTTAATTGGATTACCACACCAGTTGGCTTAAGGGACCCTACATCCAAAGATGAGTAGATGGCATACGACATAACATTAATTGATGCCCCTAAGTCCAACATGGCTTGATTTACCCAAACATTGCCTACCTTACATGGCATGGTAAACATGCCCAGGTCTTTACACTTTGGTGGTAACTGTTTTTGCAAAACAGCGGACACATTTTGACTCATGCTTATCTTTTCATTACCCTTTAGTTTCTTTTTATTAGTACAAAGTTCTTTAAAAAATTTAGCATATCTAGGAACTTGCTTAATTGCATCTAATAAAGGGATGTTTACCTGAACTTTTCGAAATGTGTCAAGAATCTCTTTCTCTTCGTTCTCCCGCTTTGTCTTCTCGAATCGGCTCGGGAATGGCGGTGCTTGGACTATCACTTTGGGTGTCTTCTTCTTTGCCTCTTCTTTGACATCCTTTGCACCCGAAGTGGATGTCTTGACCTCTAACTCTTCTTCCTCGTGAACCTTTTCCTTCTTCTTCTTTCCAACCTCTTGAAGCTCCTTTCCGCTTCTCAAAGTGACAACACTCACATTTGCCTTCGGATTCGTCTCCGTTTGAGATGGCAACTTACCCTTGTTCACTAATTGTTCAACAGTGGCATGAAGGTCCTGAATGCTCGTTTGAGTTTCCTGTTGAAATTTCACCATGTTAGCAGCCATAGACTTAACTACATCCTCTAACGATGTACCTGAGCCACTAGGAGCTTGAGGTGACACTTGATGTTGATGTTGGGTATTCGGCTGAAATGGTGCCTTCGGTTGATGTTGTTGCTGAAAGCCCGGTGGTGCTTGAAATTGTTGAGGTTGAAACTGCTGAGGCGGCTGGAATGAGCCTCTTTGCTGAAATTGCTGACCTTGTCCTTGTCTCGGGGCATAGCTCAGATTCGGATGCTGCCTCCAACCGGGGTTGTATGTGCTCGAGAAAGGGTCGGGAGCCCGGTTGCTTGAATTCTAAAAGTTTCCACCCCCAATGGCATTCACTTGCTCTTCTTCTTCATGTAAGGTCGGGCATGCATCGGTGGGGTGTGCCACTGATGAGCAAAATCCGCATGCCTTGACTTGAGGCATATTACCCACGACAAGCTGTTTCACAAGGTTAGTTAAATAAGTTATTTTAGTTTCTAAAGATTTAACATGTACCTCACTAACGCCCCGGCCAATGTCACTTCGTACTCCAAATTGCTTGGAGTTTTCCGCCATGGTGTCTATCAAAGTCCTCGCTTGTGTTGGCGTCTTGTTCACTATAACTCCTCCGCTCGCAGCATCCATCATCTTTCTTTCCATTGGTAGCAAACCTTCATAAAAATACTGAATTAGTAATTCATCAGAAATACCATGTTGAGGACAACTTACACAAAGGCGCTTGAAGCGCTCCCAATACTCGTATAAAGATTCCATGTCCTTCTGCTTGATCCCACATATCTCTCTTCTAAGTCTGGCGGCTTTGGATGCGGGAAAGTACTTGTCGAGGAATGCTCTCGCCATTTGCGCCCAAGTGGTGATGGATCCCGACGGTAAGTAGAAAAGCCACTCCATAGCTGCGTCAACTAGGGAGAATGGGAATGCCTTCAGCTTGAGATTCTTCACCGTCGTGCCTTGCGGCTTCATCCCCAAGCATACCATGTGGAACTCGGTCATATGCTTGTATGGGTCTTCATTAGCTAAACCATGAAAACGAGGTAGTAAGTGTATTAAACCAGTTTTAAGTTCAGCACTTACCTCTTCCGACGGATAAGTGATGCAAAGAGGTTGCTCGGCGACGTTGGGTGCTGCCCATTCCCTTAAAGTGCGTTCGGGATTCGCCATTTCCTCTTCAGTCTCGATTACCGGTTCTTCTTGCTCAGAATGAACTTTCTCTTCTTAGTCCTCCGTTTGGTCTTCCGAATCGGATGACAACTCAATATCTTTCCAAATATTGAGAACCGGTGAAGAAGTAGATGCGCCTTGCTTCTTTCGAAGCTTAGCTTGCTTTCTTAGCTTCTTTGCGGTTTTCTCAATTTCCGGATCAATTGGCAATGGTGAACTTGCACGAAACGATCTTGGCATAAACAGTTAAACTTTGCCAAGTCCCCGGCAATGGCGCCAAAAATTTGACGGTGTCGAGTCCGGCAAATAATAAAATTTATGAAAATAAGTCTATTATCTCTAAAACACACTTGTAATAGCGATAAGTAGGGTCGTCTCCTCAGGGACTCGGTGTTAACCGTAAGTCCAAGACGTAAATGTGTGCA